ACAATTGGCCCCGTACTTTCGGAGGTTATCTGTCCAATAAAAATCGGGACGGCAGATGGATAGACATACGGAAACGGGCGACTTATTTGTTCGTATTATAGGGGTCATGAAAGGTCGAGAAAACCTAAAAGTATAGGGTAAAAGGCAAAAAGGGCACTTATGATCAAAAATAAACAAGAATGGGCTCAAAGAAAAGGATTTTCTCTGATACACTTTTATATACAGGGTTTCTATAAATGATTATAGGGTCGCAATATGTCATGTAAACGTGTCGCCTCTCAGATTTGAACTGTACCAAATACTAAGGACGCATGACAAAGACCACAAGCATCTGCATAACTGTTCGCCTAAAAATAAAACTAATTCATTACAATAAAAAGAAACAAATTTATTGCGGTTAAACATCACAGTAAATATCGAAAATGTTCACCGTTTTGTTCAAGGCACTTGTTTACTCCTTTTTTAATTTCAAAAATGTTCTGTAATCCTTTGGTCAATGCCCATTGTTCAATTTCATGTTGCAACAGGAACTCCTGACTGCTGAGAAAATTTTGTCAAAGATGTTTGGGGATTCGTCGTCTCAAATCATCAACAACTTCCTTAGATACTTTTTTATAATTCAAACATGTGCTCGATATAAAAAAAGAATTTACCTGATGTTAAATTATGGCACACTTTATCAACGACTCAAACAAATAATTTACATTATGTTAAATGATGCCACACTTTATCAACGATTCAAACAAAGAATTTACATTATGTTAATTGATGCCTTGATCCAAGTGACTGGTTGCTTAAAACCATTAGCTTTGAGAGTTTATATCATGGACTGTCCTCAGCTTATCCCAAACGAAAAACTTGATAAATAAACGCAAAATGCATCCAGCGTTGCGAGGAATATGCGTCTCGGTGATGTAATTTTCCACGTTGCGAGAAAATATGTCTCGGTGATTTAGCTTTCCGCGTTGAGGGAAAAATGTCTCGGTGATGTGATGATGATGACTAAGTAAATTCCATGAAATCTTCTGTAAGTACTTTATCTGGACAATCTTCTGACTGTTCAATTGTGTTCGAACTAGTTAACTATTAAAATCCTAACATGAACTGTGAATTTACAAACAATAAATCATATTTACACCACGGGTTGGCGTCGGTCGAAAATTCGCATATTTCCGTTTGGAAAAACCTCAAGAATTAGCTACGCGTGTTGTAGAAACTGTGGCAGCGTCGTCGTTATGATTAATTGTCGTAGTACTTGTTAAGATAAGATTGATTTTGGTAAACGACTGAACAGTATTAAGGGAAATCACTGGAAAGAAGTGGAGGTGGGTGGGCGGGGGTGTTGCTTGCTTATAAAAGATTCTGTAGGAAAAAGATAAACTTAGCCCCGCCCACCCACCCGTTCTCTCATTTTTTCTTCCGATATAAGAAATCAATGTTATAGCAAATAAGTAGCTTTTGATTATCGCTTTTTTTAAAGCCTTCTCACTTTACAAAAGAACAAATAATTCACCCCGCTGAGATAAGACTGATTGCAGCAAACGACATACCCTTCAAGAAAATAGAGGGCGGGTGGGCGGGGCTAGTACTTGTTAAGATAAGATTGATTTTGATAAATGATATATTTTCTAAGAAAAAAAAAGGGTGGGTGAGCGGGGCTAAAACTTGCTAAGCAAGGCCTGAAGAATATTGAGACTAGTCACTGGAAAGAAGAAGAGGTGGGTGGGCGGTCCTACCTTCATTTCACTGAGTTATTTTATTTAGTGTAAAATGGAAATTGAAAAATAACAATATTGTTTCTGGGAAACTGTAACGAGCCGTCCCTGATTAAATCAATCAAATAAATGGACTCATTTATTAATTTTTTTGAGCTACCTGTTTACTCAAACTAAAAAATATGAATGCAATGCTAAATCACACGTAAAAACTCATCACATTTTCCACGTTTTGGGTAGGATTTATTCGGCAAAATTTTGAGATAACGTCATCAATTTTTTGGGGGAAATAAATAGATGTATTTTGATTAAATTTACCATGCTTACAATAACTTTAAAATGTCTGCAATATGTCAAAGCATTTAGTTTTGCAATTCTTGATTTATTCAATAAAATAAATTGACTGATTTATTTTTTTTTTGAGTCGCCCTGTGCAAGAAAATCTAAAAAATATATGATTGCAGTGATAAATCACAAGTATAGATTCATCATATTTTGCACATTTAAGCTGATGACAATTTTTTTAGATTAGATTAGACAAATTTTGGTTAGCGTTTTACCATCAACATGATATTCCTAATATAATAATCTAATTAAAATCGGGACGGCAGACGGACAGGACGTATTGACAGACAGATGGACAGATAGACGGACAGACAGACGGATAGACAGACAGACGGATAGACAGACAGACGGATAGACAGATAGACGGATAGACAGATGGACAGACAGACAGACGGACAGACAGATAGACGAATAGACAGACGGACGGACAGACAGACGTAGTCTAGGGGTCATGAAAAGTCGAGAAAACGTAAAAGTAGAGGGTCGGCCGACAGACTCGTTTACAATACTTTCTTCGCTTACTCTCGCGAAGTAAAAAGGCAAAAAAGGCACTAATGTTCAAAAATAAACAAGTAGGATTCTAATAAGTAAAAGGATTTTGTCGGATAAACTTTTATATACAGGGTTTCAATAAATCATTTTAGGGTCACAGTGGGTCATGTAAACGTGCCGCCTCTCAGATTTGAACTGTGCTAAATACCCAAGGACGCATGACAAAGGCCACACACATTTGTATAACTGGTTCCCTAAATCATTCATATATTTTTATAAAATGAAATTAATTCGTTACAATAAAAAGAAACAAATTTATTGCGGTTAAACTTCACAGTCCTCCTGACTGTTGGGAAAATTTTGTCAAAGATTTTTGCGGATTCTGCTCAAGTCGTCTCAAATCAATAACAACTTTCTCATATACTGAAGGTCTTCCACGAAATTTCTTTTGTTGGCACTGTTGTTTTCACAGTTTTCGCTTCCTAGCACAAAAACAAAATTTTTATACGCTACCACCAAAAGTTTTAAATTACTGTTTTGTTGTTTTGAGCTTGAATCAACGAGAATTACTGTAATTCACACTTGAAAAACGTTAAAACGATAAAAACGACGTCTTTAAATGACAGGTTACAAACGAAGCGGGATTTTTGAAATCCACGGCCAACTTCGCCCTTAGAATCATTTATAAAAGCTTTTTGGATATGATTTTAACAAAAAAAGTACTATAGCTAAACTTTATTTAGTAAACTGATACTGGAAACTGATAGGATATCAAATTATTATAAAAAAGTTGCGTAGTTTCTTCTAACTCCATAAATTCCTTTAAAGTATCTTATTTCATGTAGGAGTGTCTTAGAAATTCTTCAAATAAAGGACGCTAAAATTAGTTATTATCCTGGCGCCTCCACCATTTTAATCAAAACATCAAAGTTGCTTAAAGCGTTTCTAAATGAAAATTTTCTTAAAATTTCCAGAATATATTTACATACGTGCGTCACGTTTTCTTAAATAACGACGCAAAACGTGTTTTATCCAAAAAATAAAATTTCGGAAAATGGTGTGACGTCTGCAACACACACATTTTTAGAAATAAATGAAGAATTTATCTTAAAACGTTTGATTAAAATTTTTGAAACAGACAATCCAGGAAATAATTTATTATCCCGGCGCCTCCACCATTTGTAACTAGATACTCGAAATATTTAAAGTCGGTTTAAACAAAGGGATCTCTGTTATATGAAACTTGTAGCGGATTACGAATCTGTGCTTATTTTTCCATGTCTCCCCAAAAAACAGACGGTATGCCACAAAATCCAAGTTTCTCTAAAAGAGATGATTTATTTTTATTCAGATTTCTATGTTTTTGTTAGTTCAGAGTTGACAGAATTAGGACACTCTGCTTAATTTTTTAAATAAACTAAATTACAAGAAGACAAAATTAAAACCCTGTACAATTGTTTTGGATAGAGCTTTATTCTCTAAAAAAAATTCTCATATCTTCTTGAATGAGGGAGAACACACCTTTTTACCTAATGAAACCAAGTAGCTCAATTTATTCTAAAAAAAGTTGTTTATCTTGGTTCAAACCTATGCTTATCGCTATTTTTAGATTGTTTCTTTGTCCCGGCACCTCCACCATTTTCTCCAAAAGTCAAAGTCGCTCAAATCTGTTCGAAATCGTGTCTGTCTTATCAAACCCAACGTAGATTATTTGAATGTTAGCAAAAGTTAACTCCGGGTTCAGAAATTAATTTTATTCTCAATAACGAATTTGCTTTCACTACTAGTTTTAGTTCCGGAATTAACTTAACTTTTGACTTGATTCCACTGCGAACATTAAATTCCCCCCGGTTTCGCTTTCAGTTTATTTTAGTTTCAGTTAAAATTTTAAGTTAATTTAAGTTTACCTTCGCCCAACTTAGTCCTAGTTTTGTCATTTATGGTTTTAATTTTAGTTTGTTTACAGTTTAATGCTGATGCGTTTCCAGTTTCAGTTTCAGCTTTAATTTCATTTTATTTTCAGCGCCAGTTTCACGGACGATTACCCCCCGTAGTGCATATTTCAGCCTTCAATATCACTACCTCCGTTTGCCAATGATCATAAATTCCCGAAAAAGTGTCGTATTTAAACAAAAAGAAACCCGTAATGAATTTACCCCTCCCCCATAATTACCATTCACCGAACGTCGCGACGTAGGCGAAAAAGCCTCGAGCGAGATGACATCGATCATTTACCGAAAAATTTACATCAAATGTGCGGGAGGTTCCGGGGAAGCCCACCAGGGGTACAAACACAGAAAACGAAGTAGTCTCGTTACAGGAAGGATAATTGCGTTACATATTCATGCGTTTCCAATCAGAATACCCGATCGGGCATTTCCGGGCGCGCTCGGCCCCGGACTTTTCAGCGCTCACGCTGAAAATCCACAGTTCGCAATTCGCGCGTGCCGCGACACGTCCGGAGTCTCGTGCAGTGGTTCGGGTCCGGTTTGGCGTGACTTTATTTTAACTGTGAAACGCCCGGAAAAGTCCGGATTCTTTGATTAAAACGAGCGAAGGTAAGCGAGCGATTTTTCAGGAGCGCGTTTTTCGGGCTTTTCAGTCAAAGCTGCATTTGAATAATGCATTAAAATGTAAATGTTTTCAGTAATTGCAGCTTATCGGAGATTATGCGGTAAGGCTGAGCGCCGGACGGAAAAGACGTAGGGGAGCGCGGGCAAGGTGGACCCCAAGTCGTATTTAAATTTCGATTGGAAAAATTGTTTGTGAATAAAATCGCGAACACTTTTATGATTGTCGGAATAACTCCAACGATCATTTTTTCACCTCACTATATATAAAAAGTTGTTTTTATTGCGTCGTGCTTGTATTACTTCTTTACGCGAAGTTTGTTCGAAGTTTTGTTGAGCGGCGAACTTTTCCCGATTGAGAATTTTTTCGTTTGAAAGGTTATGATTAAGTGTTGATCAATACTCCGATGAAACCCACATGTGGCCAATAAGTCTAGGACGCCCGGTATATAACAAAAACTGTAGTTCGTTTTAGGTGAAAGCTCGCACTATGACCTCGCATGTGGGTCCAACTTGTCCGCCCTCCTGCAACTTTCAGCCCGATTATAAATCATTTCTGGGCAAGAGATCTGCATATCATTAACGGAACGCAACTGAGATTAATTTTAATAAGATGAATGTGTAAAGTTGCGAACGGGGAAAATCGGGGCAAGAAGTTGCGAGTTTTGCTCGAGTCGGGAAAAGCACAGCGTTGTTTGCAGTCAGGTGGCGGATTTTTGCAGCCGTATCAACGCTAATTAAACACTTTCCCCGTCTTTACTTAGGTCGGCAAACACTAAATTCAATCCTGTGCATACATGGGGATATTGATCACTTTATTGAAGCGCCTCATAAAATGGACTCAATTAAATCACTAGTTGGGTATTAATTGGCGATGTTTGGTCGGGATGAGCTAAATAACGCAGTCACTTTGTCGGCTGAATCGGGGCTCAGTTCAAACAAAAGTGCTCCAATGCGCCGCAAAAATTAGAGAGGGGCAAAAATACGGAACTTTGACGAATAAAAAAGGAACATTTCATAATAATACCAATGACAGATTTATTGAATTGAAATAAAAAGTCTAAATAATTAAAAAGCAGAAAAGCAAAGGGCAATTACTTTTTGGCTGCGTCTCCATACTTTGCACTTTGGACAAAATAGGTGAGCTTTCGTGACCTTGAAAATTTTTAGAGAAACGTACAAGTCTCATTTTTTTTCCGCTAAAAATGCTTAGCTTCTAATGTGAAAATCTCATTATGAAAAACCTGAAAAAACTTTTATTTTAAAAATTATAATTATAACGAAACTAAACATCACCGCTTTGATTGTTAAAACAACTCTTTGTGAAAAAAGTTCAATTCAGCTAAGCTATTTTTACGAAAAAAAAATTTAACTCCAGGAGAGTGAACAGAGCGCAGAAAACTTTAATCGGAAGAAAAAATTATGAAATAATTTCCCCAACTTTGTTGTTTATAAGCTTTAAATAGAGGTGAATATTTTTTGTGGGTCAATTTATAGAAGCTGGATTTTTTCAAAATTCCAAGTTCGTGTTTTCCAAATTTTCAACTGAATTCAGATGTATTTCATGCATAGTTTAACATATCTTTAGACGGAGTAATGTTCGCAGAAATCTGTAATAGTCGTGTTATGGTGGAGTCGAACAAGACCTTTTGTTCCGTTTTCTATTGTCTCCACTGAAACTAAAAATCCAGGACTATTACCAATTGTATTCGTGTTGTTCAGCGACTTATCACCTTTGACCCGTCGCCGTTTTATTATTTCGTTAAGCAAACGATTTGAAGTCGTGTATCTTGAGATGGCATTGTTCAGACAGACAGATTTCCCAATAAAAACACAATAATAAAACAGTCCGGATGTATTCCCGGGACACGCAGCAAAAGCGTGAGCTCTTTCGGAATAATCTGAAATATCATCCGTTCTCGTTTCGAAGGGACCTTCCTAACTTTATGCAGAAGTAATGAGATTTTACTATCTGGTGGTCACGACGCCTTCATAGATCCGGATCAGATAAAGAACCCGAAAATGTATACAAATCGTTCGGAAGCTCATGAATATAGTTGAATTCCCTGATTCAACATAAATTGAACCTCATTCCCAAACCCTAATCTCGTGCCGCTCAAGGCCCGCGATTTCTCAATCCCGCGTCTTGTATCTCGAATTAACTTTCAAATGAAGCACATACATTACGCGGAAAAAACTCCATTTGAAATTGTGATTTAATTATCCCGGTTTAATTAAATAAGTAGAAAAAGTATGACGTGCGTCATGCCGAAGAGCTTTTTGCGTCCTTCGAATAAATGGCTTTTGTTTTACAAGATACTTTTTCCTCTCTCGATCATAACTTATTCCGGTTGTTCGCGTAGCCAAGGTTCCATTTTTCCTGTAATATGCCCTACGTGTCCTGTAGCTCGCATTAGACATATGCCGTGAGCTTTAAGGATGTCTCCACGTTGCCTTATATATATCTTTACCGAACAAGGCAATCTGCAGCACGTGTTTGCGAAAACAGTTGAGTCGCAGCCGGTCCAGCTGCTACCTGCCTGAAATATGTCCGATCTGCGCTGAAACTTTGATTCATGGCCGAGGGGAGACGAGGGAATACCAAGCGCTTTAGGCCTAGTTTCGGACTCGTATTTAATTGGAGCCTGCGCATATTTCGCATTTTTAACACGGGATAACTGCGATTCCCTCATTTGAAGTGGCTTACGCGTCACACACTGGTTAACTTGTTTGTTTTGGTCTGGCGCGGAGTGCGCGGGAATCGGGTGAACGGTCACACAAGTGCTGCAAAAGTAGGAACGCACTTATTATTTGTCTGTTATGGTGGGACGATTACTAAAATTACTGTTGCCTTCGGGCAAATTACGCAGCCTCAGTCAAAAGTTACTTAGTGTAGAGCTCTCATGACATCTCAAGGTGAATTGCCTCCAGTACTCTATTAAGGTTACCCTAAAAAATAAATTTAAATAAAATTCACTCTACTATGCATTGTGCGAGGATGATCAGGCAAATTTTGGTTAGCGTTTTACCATTTGCATAATATTCCTAATATACATATAAAATTTGGCAATAATCGTTTTTGTTTAATAAAAATCCGGTAATTTTTTTTCTCTCTATTAAAATAATAAATAATAAGATTTGGATTTTTTGTGGGAAAATTTGGACAAAAACTCAAGGTGGATTCATAAATCACACGCACATGACCATGTAAGTTCAATGATATTTAGTGTTTAGTATTTTATTTTGAGCTGACGTGATCAAATTGTTGCTGGGATGATTAGAAGATTTGGTTCATGTTTTTTTTTTAACTAACATACATATAAAATTTGAGGACAATCGATGCGGTAGTTTCAGAAATATCTGTCTAATAAAAATCGGCAGACAGACAACAGACAAACAGACGGAAACTTTGTTCATACTATAGACGTCATGAATCGTCGAGAAAACCTGAAAGTCTTCATTCGCCGAATGGATCCTCTCAGTTAAAATACTTTCTAAAATTAAGCTTGATCTTTGCAGATTAGAAGCTAATCAGCTTAGAGATGACTTAATGTTTTTCCAATGACGTCTTCAGCTTCCTGTAGAGGAACAAATTCACAAACTCAAAGCCCATTTAAACAATTTACCCATGTATAGAAAATAACCCTAAGGGCTCGGAGATTTGATCAGCTTTTCTGAAAAAAGCCAGTAGGGCACTCCAAGTTTTTTCAACTTTGTTAAAAAAGGCATTAGACGAACCCGAGACTCTTTCAGCTTTTCTAAAAAAAAAAAAAAAAAAAAAAACAATAGGGGACCCCCGAGACTTTACAGAAAATAGTACTAGGGACCCCGAGATTCCTTCAGCTTTTCTAAAAAAAAACGACCCCGAGACTCCTTCACCGTTAAAAGAGAAAATAAAACTAGGGGTCTCAAGATCTTTTTAGCTATTCCAAGAAAATGATACTAGGGGAACCCAAGATTCTTGCATCTTTTTTAAACAAGACATTAGGGGACCCATATATTCTTTCATCTTAAAAAAACTAGGGCTCCGAGATACTTTCAGCTTTTCTAAAAAAAAAAGAAAACACTTAGGAGCACCGAGATACTTTTAGCGTCGCTACAAAAAGGCGATAGGAAACCCCGATATTTTTTTAGCTTTTTTTAAAGACACTCGGGGACCCATAAATTCATTCACCTTAAAAAAAACCTAGGGACTAAGAGATTCTTTAAAAAAGACACTTAGAAACCCCGACATTCTTTCAGTTTCGCTAAAAAAAAAGACAATAGGGGACCACGAGATTCTTTCACCGTTAAAGTCAAAATAAAACTAGGGACCCTGAGATTCTTTCAGCTATTCTAAAAAAATGACATTTGGGGACCCTAAGATTTTTTCAGCTCTTTTAAAAAGTACACTAGGGGAACAATAGATTCTATCACCTTAAAAAAAAACTAGGCGCTCCAAGATTCTTTCAGTTTTTCTAAAAAACTACACTTAAGAATCGCGAGATTCTTTTAGCTTCGCTATAATAAGGCAATAGGAAACCCTGAAATTCTTTCAGTTTTTCTAAAAAGACACTAGAGGACCCATAGATTCCTTTACCTAAAAAAAAAATAAAACTAGGAACTCCGAGATTCTTTAGAAAAGACACACAGGAACCTAGATATTCTTTTAGCTTCGCTATAAAATGGCAACTGGAGACCGCGCGATCCTTTCGGTTTTCTTTTTCAAAAACACGTAGAGACCACGAAATTTTTGAAGCTTTTTTAAAAGACACTACGTGACCTCGAGATGCTTGGGCCTTTAAAAATATAGCACTACAGGTCTCCGAAATTTTTTCAGTTTTTTAAAAGACACTAGGGAACCCGGAGATTCTTTCAGCATTTCTAAAAAAAATAACTTAGGAACCCCAAGATTTTTTCAGCTTCGCTATAAAACAATAATAGGGGACACGAAAATTCTTTCAGTTTTCTTTTTCAAAAGGACGTAGGGGGCAAGAAATTGTTGCACC